CCTGTTGGAACATCGTCCTAGCATATTATTTGAAGGACAAATGCAGCCCTCTTGCTGAAAAACATCACTGTCTACCATTTTAATGGAATAGTTGACAGGATGTCTGTAGAGATGCTCAGTCATCCAGGTCAGGGTTGTCCCAAAGGTGCTTTTTCAGGAGGCAACTCGACTTTCTTATTTTTTCTTTGAAGATGTTTGGGAGAACCATGACCTGGATGATGGAGAATCTTTACAGCCTTTAGCTATACAATTTGGGATAAACACCGTTCAAATGGTGTGGGAGTAGGAATGGATTTCCAGAAGAAAAATTGCAGACTACAAGAACCATTTGCACTACTCAGGTGACCCTGAAGACACATATAAGCCTCCAAGTGGCCTCAATGTCCCTCTAAAAGGATGCAAATGACCAGCTGTCTGCAAGGGATATCAATCCTTCCATTCTCCACTATTCTGGCAGAATAGAAGAAACTTCTTGGATGAGAAGCAAAATGTTTTCAAAGAAAAAAGCACACAATGAAGTCCAGTTGTCTCCTGAAAAAAAGCCCCTTTGGGAGTTGACAGGATGCCATCTTTAGAAGCAGGGATAGATGCATGTCCTTACAGAGAACCACACTCCACCCTCACTGTATTGTAATAAACAATATAAACAACATAAGGATCATACAGGATTAATCAGACTAATGGCCTTTCTAGTCTAGTGTTCTGTTTTAATAGTGCAGCTTCTTCAACGACATTGAGAAGGCCATAAAGAGAGCTTGAACTTCATAGAAGTGGTTCATCTTAAATATTGGCTAGATACAATATTGTCATCTTGATCATGGGAGGCTGAGCCTCCCATTTTGCCTCGGTCTGTTTCTGAAAGGTCTACATTAACCCCTTTCTTCCTGCTACTCACTGAGAAAGTTCTCTTCCCTCCTCACTTACTTTGAACAATGTTACTATGGCACTATAACACACACTGAAGAGGAAGAGGATGAAGAAAATAAAAAGGATCGTCCACAAATGCTCCAGTTCTTCCTCTTTCTCCAAGCTGTAATCGTTCTCCATAATCACCACTGTCACTGTGAAAGGAAAAACGTTACAATGTCATTCTCCATATTGTTCATCGACATAAACTCTCCATTGATCCATCCTCTCGCACTCTCTTCCCCCACTGAAAATGTCATCTTGATAAATCAGACCATACAAATTCACCCAAACCACAATTGTGGAGCATCTGGATAGAATTGCATTTTTAAAAGTTATTCTGTTTGCAGAATTATAAGTTTTGCTTTAAAAAAAAAATCTCTTTAGCTCCATGGATTATATTTCCTCTCAAGGATTCTGTCATGTTCTAGAAGTTAATGTGCATGCATTAAAGATATTGACTGGTCTGCAGTCATCACTCAAATCAATGCTTGCTTATGAATGCTGTGCTATTCCTTCTTTATTTGAATCTGGATTTAAAAAGACATGATATGAGTGGACTTAACGACATCACAATAAATCTCCATGGGTTACGATTTAGACTAGATTCAATTTTTTTATAATATCGGAATTGATCAGAAGGTTTGTGGGTGTCTTGTAAGTTCAGTTTTAGTCGTAGCGATTTCCCTTAGCAATATTTCTAAATAATCCTCATGAGGCGACCAGAAAAGAGACCAGAATTTCTGTGGCTGAGTAATTTCTGTTGTTAAGGGAGTCATGCCTGACTTTATGACCATTTAATTTTTTTTTTTGCCAGGGCTATTAAGCAAATCAGTGCAGGTTAAGGGAATCACCCAGAGGTTAAGCAAATCTAGCCTCCCCCATTGACTTTGCTGGTCAGAGTTGGGAAGGTCGCGAAAGGGGACAGAATCACATGACCTTGGGATGCTGCTACCATTATAATTATATGCCTGTTGGCAAGCAACCAAATTTTGATCACGTGACTGAGAGGACGCTGCAACAGTTGAAGTGCGAGGACCGTTTGTAAGCCTCTTTTTTTCCGCACTGTGGTAACTTTGAGTGGTTGCTAAATACATTCTTATAAGTTGGGGACTACCTGCATAACATCTTGAGAACATTGGTAAGTCCAAAGGTACTATAATTCATTGTTGAAAAAAATGACACGTAACCGAAGACCTCTCTTGTGTTTTAAATAATTTTAGGCCCATACTTTTTCTGTCAGATTGAACGTATTACATCTATTATGTCTTTATTTCAAAAGATGTTAATAATTTTGTAGATATATGCTATTAATATTGTTGTTGTCATTATTATTATTATTCATTAAACATAAAGCTCGGTCAACTGAACATTTAAAAATGTATCACAAATGTTATTGACTGGCACTGATGGTTGATTCAGGTTGCTTCCAGCATCCTAGATATCAACTTATTCTTATTCTAATGTGAAATCACAACTTCCCTTCTTTAGATGGTATTGGCTTTCCTTCACATTGAGTTCTTTTCTTCATTTTATATTTTATTTATTATTCTTATTTATGTACTAATTTATTTACCATTAATAAATTATATTTATTTTATTTTGTATTATAATTTTATAACTGAGTGATATTATCATTGTATTTTAAAACTATTAATGTATCTATTTCTCATTTATTTTGTTCTTTCTGGAGGAGGAAAAAAACCCTGTCCTGGCATATTTATATGTGTTTGCAGCTGTTTGTGTGGAACGGTATTGTCTATTTCTCTCTTCTTTCTTTCTATTGTTTTTACCAAATTATTTTTTGTGATTTTTTTGTAAAAAAATTATATAGCTGGATTTGTTTCATCGAAGTGATACTTCTCCAATTCTTAGCTTAGCATCAATTTTCAACTTCCATGATCAAAATGTTATGCCTGCATTCTTCACCAGATGAAGATTGCCAGAATTCTTGGCATGCGTATCTATAAAGTTTCTTTTTGGGGGGTGATATATAGTGTTGTGGTTTTTTAGTGTCTGTTTTTATACATTAGTTTTCTCAGTGAACATGTTTATATTTCATTGAACTCCTTGTCTGAAATTTTAATGAATCAGAAAGTGCGAAGTTTTTAAAAAAAATCTCAAAAAATATTAGATGTGTCCCAATGTTAATCAATATGATGACATCTGATTATTAATATTTCAATTTGCAAATAGGTATTGAAATGGAAAGATCTTACTATTTAATTTTTACAGTTGTATTCTTGAGTTCTGGATAATCTCTCTTTCTTGTTTCTGCATTAATTAGGATACTGGGGACTAAAACATGAAGAACAGCTGCAGGAACTGAATATGTCTAGTCAAGTGAAAAGAAGGACTGGGGTGACATGATAACAATGTTCCAATATTTGAGGGGCTGCTACAAGAAGAGGGAGACAATCTATTTTCTGAAGCACCAGAAGGCAAAAAAAGAAGCAAATGGTTGAAACTAAACAAGGACATAAGAGACCTAGAACTAAGGAGAAATTTCCTGACAGTGAGAACAATTAATCAGTGGAACGACTTGCCACCAGAAGTTGTGGGTGCTTCAACAACAGAGGTTTTAAGGAAGAGATTGGACAACCATTTGTCTGAAATGGTATAGAGTTTTCTACTTAAGCAGGGGTTGGACTAGAAGAATTCCAAGGTCCCTTCCAACTCTGTTATTCAGTCTTGAAATTACAGCTGAGATGTCAAAGGTTTGAGGCAATGTCTCCTTTTTGTGTTAATATAGAATTTTGTGTTTTTACAGTGAATTTTGATATAATTTTTAAAGGACAAAAGTGATTGCTTTTTGTTATTTAATTTGTCCTGATCATCAGTACGTTTTGGAAGTATATCTGGAGAACAATTGTTTCTCTATCTTGTAACTTTGCATTTCTGAATGTGGATATCTTGAGAGTTGAAAGCCCATCATGATCTATTTTCCCTTATTACTCAACCTCCAGTGTTTAGTAATTTGAATTAAATATTTCTTCCCTCCCACTCTCCCTTGATTTTATATTTGAGTACTTAGAGTATTCCCTGATAAAGTTGATCCTATTAGATCATGAATGTGATCCTTCCATTTATTTTTTAGTTTTGATCATAGCATCCTTATATTACAATAGATGATTGAGATTCCCCCTTGAGCATTCTCTGGATTTTTTTTTTTTTTGTATTAGATATGAATCCTTGATATTGAAATCAAGTGTAGATTATAGACCTGCAATGAACAGTGTTGCTTTGTCCCAATTGATTGGTCTATGGAGAAATTGTGGCTAAGAAGAAGTTGGCCAAGGGATGTGGCTGGATCTGCGATGGGACATTTTTCAGTAAATAATTACAATTATATATATTTTGGCTACTTTGACTATTTGCTCTTGGGCTGAATGGACATCTTACAAAGAAAAGCACTTAAGAATAGAGGAAAGGTGATATGGAGCAAAGAGCAAAGGATCGTTGTCCATGAACTTGATGGGTTCAAATCTCCACTGAACCCTGAAGCTCACCAGATGCATCTATTCAGGGATGGGATGCTGCCAGTAGAACAACCGTTTTGGTGATTATGCACTTCGCTGAGCGCACGTCAACACAATGCAAAAGTCCTTACCTAGTAAGTTACTTCAGGGGAGTAACACAGCTAAGGAGCGGCAATCCGCTCTTCCATGCTAATCAGCTGTAACAATAAAGGTCACTGCTGCACAGGGGTCGGCGGTGGGCCCACATGATCATTGCAGTGAACCGGATCGGAGACAGCTGATCTTCAGAGCAAGGGATTCGACCGAACTGGTCCGAACCAGTAGAATCCCACCCCTGCATCTATTCTATTCTTTTCTCACAGGGCTGCAGTTAGGCTAATTTGGGGGTACCTGCCCATAACCCAGCTAAATACACTGGTCTTCTGTGGGATTCCTACAGAAACATGATGAACTCCATTTTGTTAGATTATCAAAACAGTGACCCACCCAGATTCATTTGCTGAGATGGGCGGCTGTAGAAATCACATCAATCAATCAATTCAATAAATCAGTCTTAAGGCTTGATTCTGCATTTTCAGACAATTCACCCCCTTTCCCTTAAGGAGAAAAGAACAGAACCTGGGGTATTTTTGAGATGGTTTGCTTTTATTCATCCAGATGAGAAATGGGTGAGCAGGGAAATTATTAACAGTTTGGTCTCACAGTGTTAGAGGCAAATCTAGGATGGATTGAAACGGAGCAGCTGGTTCATTTTTTACCCTGGGTTTTTGAGATGTTCCTCTGGGTGAACTTCATGGGGAGGTCTTCATGGATCACCATACAAGTGAACAAATCATTATTCCAATCTTGCCTGGGGACAGAAAGTTTGCTGACGGCAAAGAAGGAATCATTATGCTTATTCTTCATAGCTGGAGTAGTCACATATTTGTCTTCTGACACAGGATTGTGATTCTGTAGCCACTGGATATCAGCCTCAATTGGAATAAAATCATTTACCATGCAGATAAGAGACACCGTTCTGCCTGGATTGAGCTCATCTCGGTGAGGAGGGTAGACATAGACCTTGGGTGCCTTCTTGTTGCCTTTATGAAATTTGAGGAAAAAACACAACAATGAAATGGAGGACAAATTAGTGGCAGCAATGAATGGTTCACATCTCTTGCTAAACTGTGATTCTTTTAGTCATTGTTCATTTATACCACTAAACCATGGTTTGCAGGCCATTTTATGACATGGTTTGCAGGCCATTTTACGACATTGTGCAAAGCAAGTGTGAATTTTGTTATCCTGGTGTACTTATCCACCCAATATTTGGATTGTTGATGTCTCCAAGCTTTTCATGTCTCCAGGCTTGCATCCCACACCATATATTACAGATCTTGTCTTACAATGTCTTGGCACAAATGAAAACAATTATGTTGGTGTGCATGAGGGAGAAAAATGTAATTTCCTCCTTACCTCTGGTCTTGAAAATGCTCTCTGTGACAGGACTAACAAAGGAAGGATGTTCAACCCTACAGGTAAAACTTTCTCCTGATTCCCAATCTTGAGCGATGACATTGAGGCGACCGACAGCAGTGTAGGTACCATTTGGTTCTTCTACTGTTTCTATTACATCAGCATTCAGGTGTCCATTTTTCTCCCGAGACCAGGTAATTTTCAACCCCTGTTCATTTTGCAGATTGTTCACAACACAGGTGATCTTGCTATTTCTATCAATGTACAAGGCTTTTGGTCTTGGGGGCAGAAGATATACATTAGCATCTCCAGAGGGACAACTGCTTCCACCTAAGGATAAAAAAATTATGTCAGTTGCCTAATTGACTCTCATTTCTTTCCCACCCAACAGGCTCTTGATCTGATCTATACTGGAGCTGCTTTTGAGTTTAGTAAATATAAGTCAATAGCAATAGCATTTAAACTTATATACAATTTCATAGTGCTTTAACAGTCCTCTCTAAGCAATTTACAGAGTCAGCATATTGCCCCCAACAATTTGGGTTCTCATTTCATTGGCTTCAGAAGATTGGAAGGCTGAGTTAAACTTGAGCCAGTCAGGAAATCAAACTCCTAGCAGAGAACAGTGAGCAAGTCTGCAATATTGCATTCTAGCCACTGTGCCACCACCGGCTCCAATTGAGCCAGAAAAAACATTTCCTGGATTCTCAGTCATCTAGGTCATGGTTTTCCCAAAGGTGCTTTTTCAAGAGGCAACTGGACTCTCTGTTCTTTTTTTATTTGAAGACATTTTGCTTCTCATCCAAAAAGCTGAAGAAGAGCTGAAGAAGTTTCTTGGATGAAAAGCGAAATGTCTTCAAAGAAAAAATCCCAAAAGTCCAGTTGCCTCTTGAAAAAAGCACCTTTGGGTTTCCTCTCCCAAAATACAGTTGTCTGAGCAGGTGAAGAAGCTGTTATATTAATAAAGATTTATTGGAAATAGTGTGGATTTTTACACAAGACCAAAGGTCTTAGGAAAAGGCGAGTTAGTCTCCTCTGTGGTTTTCTATTTTCATTCCATGCTCATTTATACAAACCAGAATTAGCATAACATCATGCCACCAGACTTGAAATTACCTTATGCCACCAGACTTGAAATTCTAGAACTTGAAAACCTTGAATTACGCCGTCTTCGGTCTGACTTAAGCATGGTATATAAAATCATACATTGCAATGTCCTACCTGTCAATGAATACTTCAGCTTCAACCATAACAACACAAGAGCACACAATAGATACAAACTCAAAGTAAACCGCACCAAACTTGATTGCAGGAAATACGACTTCAGCAATAGAGTGGTCAATGTCTGGAATACTCTACCCGACTCTGTAGTTTCTTCCCCAAACCCCAAAAACTTTAACCTTAGACTGTCTACTATTGACCTCACCCCTTTCCTAAGAGGCCTGTAGGGGGCGTGCATAAGCGCACCAACGTGCCTACCGTCCCTGTCCTATTGTTTCTCTTATTCTTTTATTTTTCTTATATGTACCCATTTCATGTATTCACAACTATGTATACATTTATACTTATTATCTTGTAAACAATTGGCAAATCAAATAAATAAAAAAATAAATAAATCATGATTACCTTCACATTTTTTGAGTTTGCCTTTCACCTTGGTTTGTGATGCTGCATGGGTTACTTCACAGTAATAAACATTTCCTTCCAGCCAGTCATCTTGGGTGATGTTGACTACGCTGGCGGTACTGAAAGTATATGTGCCGGGATTCTGCCAAGGAGGATAATTGTATGGACGTAGCAATCCAGAGCGACTGCCCACCTTCCAGTCAATGTCCAACTGTTTGGGGTAGAAGCCTGAAATCTGGCACCACAGTTGTATGGGACCATCTCTGGAATCGCATGAAGAGTGGGACATATGGATCTCAGGGCCCACAGGACTACGGGTTGCAGCACCTAAGCATGAGGAATTAGATGACATATTTAACTAATATTTAGTATAACAGGGTGGAGAAACAGAAAGGATGGTCACTACACCTTGAGTAGTAGCCTAATACAGCCCCTATCCTTCATTGATTGGTCTTCTCAGCATTTTCCCCTCTGATTATTCTTGGGGTCTTCTGATTGAAAGATTCCATGGCTTGGAAAATCCTTGATCTCTTCCCCAAATACCTCTTTGTCTTCAGAATCCCTCCTCAAGCTTTGTTTTCCCGGTCTATATCTATCAAGCTTTGCCTTAATTCCTTCCAACATGTTGTTGTGGCCCGCCAGCGGCCAGTAGAGCTGGCGACAGACTTGGACAGTGAGGAGGTTGGGGAGGAACATGGGCCTTTCTTGCCACAGTTGTTAAATGAATTGCTACGATTATTAAATTAGTATCATGGTTGTTAAGTGAATTTGGCTTCCCCATTGACTTTGCCTGTCAGAAGGTCACAAAATGTGAGACATGACCTTGGGACACTGCAACCATCATAAATATGAACCATGAAATATGAATTTTGATCACGTGACCACAAGGGTGTTGCAACAACTGTAAGTGATGAAAAATAGGTCATTCATAAGTTACTTTTTCAGTGCTGTTATAGCTTTGAACGGTCACTAAACAGTTGTAAGTCAAGAATTGCTTGTACCTTCACAATTGTCATTGTTTCCCACTGTTTTACCTTCACATTTGGATTTTCATGTCTTTGACAAATCAACTGCCCTTGAGAAGAGAAAATAACTTTACTGGACTCACGGTCAATTTTTTTGTTAATTCTGGTGTCGGTGGCTGCATGGTAGACGTTGCACTGGAATGACTCAGATTTCCACTGGCTGACGGGGATGGTGAGCAGGCTGCTGTGAGTATAGTGGTCAGAGCCAAGCAAAAGTGGAGGGAAGTTGTGGATTCCACTGGTGATGGCGCCTGAATTCCATTGCACTGTGGCTGGTTCAGGAAAGTAGCCTTTGACGAGACAACCGATGGAAACTTGGGGAGTGTCTTGGTTACAAGGAGACAGTGGGAAGACAGTTGGGGCTCTTTTAACAGCTGTAGGGGAAGATAAAGACAACACAGTGAAGATAATGAATTCATATTCCATGCTCTCTAGTAGTACTGATGTTTTCTATTATTTTTGGTGGCTCTCTGTGAATTTCATACTCAAGAGATGAGACTTTGAATATCAGAAGAGTGGTCTTTAAATAACAAGCAGATTTCTAGGACAATTCCAGAGGTGGTATTCAGCCAGTTCTGACAGTTTCTGGAGAACTGGTAGCAGAAATTTTGAGTAGTTTGGAGAACTGGTAAATACCACCTCTAGTTGGCCCTACCCCCATCTATTTGCTGCCTCCCAAGTCCCAGCTGATTGGCTGGGTCTTCTTTTGTTGCCCTGCACAGGAGAATGGAGCTGGAAAGCAGGTTAGTGGGAGCGGGAGGGAATGGGGATTTTACAATATCCTTCCCTTGCCATGCCCACCAAGCCATGCCCACCAAGCCACACCACACCCACAAAGCCAATATCACCACTGTACTATTTGTCCCTTCTTTTCAAATGAGAAGGAAATTCTGACAGAGGGAACAGCAGTTATCTTTTTCAGCATGGTAATTAGAAAGAAGCAAAAGAGAAACAAGAGAAGGAGCAAGTGAGGAGGCATTTTACAGACTCAGGAAGCCCTGGGTACAAATATCTCCTCTCACTGTATTGAACTAACTTTCTCTCACTCATACATCTAAGATATATGAACTGCTCCTTTTAAATAGGAACAAATCAGTTTTTTTTCCAAATGCAGCAACCCTCTGCTTCATTTAAACATGGCTAAAGGATTTGATTAATGCCTCAGAATTTCAGATTCAAAAGGCAGATAGAATTGCAAAAACATCAGTAAAAAGAAGGGAGGAGTACACTAGATAAATTTTGTGAGGTGGACTTAGAGACACCATTCATTATTTGCATATTCTTTTATGCCCCTTGAGAGTTTTCTTCATTTATCATAGTTGGGATCTACATACAACCTCACGTTTGCATCAACAATATATTGCAAGCGCCAAGGCTGTGTGCTTTCTGCATTACTCTTCTCTTTATATAACAATGACTGTATTTCAATGGATCCCTCTGTACTGTATTAAAGTTTGCAGATGATACAACAGTCATTGATCTCATTGGAGACAATGATGAGTCTGCATATAGATGAGAGGTAGATAAACTGTGGTGCAGCCAGAACTATCTGGAGTTGAACACTCTTAAACTGTAGAGATGACAATAGATTTTAGGAAAAGTTGTCCTATTCCACCACCTCTTAGAACACAGTGTCAACAATAGAGACCTTCAAGTTCCTGAGTTCTATTATCGCCCAGGACTTGAAATGGACACCTAACATTAAAAAGACACAACAAAGAATTTTCTTCCTGCATAAACTCAGAAAATTCAGATTCCCAAGGATCTGCTGATATAGTTCTACAGAGGAATTATTGAGTCGGTCATTGGTACCTCAATAATTATCCAGTTTGTCACAGCAACCAAACAGGACAGGAACAAACTTCAACTGAAAGTTAGAACTGCGGAAAAAAACAATTGCAACCAGCCTGCCTTCCATTGAGGACCTGTATATTGCATGAACCAGAAAGAAGGCTGAGAAAATATTTACAGATCTCTCACATGCTGGACATAAACTGTTTCAACTTCTCCCTTCAGGGTGCCACTTTAAGGCATTGCATGCTAAAACAGCTAGACACAAAGATAGTCTTCCCCCAATGCAATCACTCTGCTGAACACCTAATTCCCACAACAATGTCTTAGGTGAGTCATATTATATAAAATGTCCCCATATAGAGATCAGTGACACTGTCCACTCTATTTCATATTAGTTTATCCCTAGCTCTGGCTTTCATTGTCCTCCCTTCTTGGGGTTAAGAAAGTTAACAAACATAAGATTTCTTGAGGTTTTTGAGCAGGTCTTCCTGTCCCAAACTGTAAACATTCCAGCTAATTTGGGATAGATTGGCATGCTGATCTGCATCTCCAAAGTCAAGTTTTCTTTTCAGGCGTTTTTGTCCGAAGTGATGTAGAGTGTCCTGCCTAGGCAGGGGGTTGGACCAGAAAGCCTCCAAAATCCCTTCTGTTATTCTATTCTATTTTATTTTTCCACATTCCAATGACTTGCAAGATGAAAGCCAGATGGAAGACCATTTATTTTGCATTGTTCTCAGACATGACACTGGATCGGAGACTACCAACTGCAGCCTATGAGAAGAAAGGGTCCTATTTCCATGTCCCTGGGGAAACAGAGTGGGAGAAATTTAGACTTACAATTGCTGAAGAATATAAGAATGAAGTCTGTCTGGGGACAGTTCTCACTGACATAGAAAAACCGACTCAGTCCAAGCAGAAATCAGTGTCAGCACAAACTGAGAAGAACCAAATGTAATGGTATGTGAGAAAGGCCTTGGTAGACAGGGGGAAAGAACCACAGTTGGGATAAGAGGCAGCTTAATTCACAGAAGGAATGGCAAACATCTCAAAAAGGACCCTGCTGAACCCATGAAATTTAAATAACATTGGTCATATCTCACTTTAAGTGGATTTGAAATCATGAGATACAGCTGCATCTAAAAATGAGGGCACCTCATTCTGTCTCCATTTTAGATGCAACATTCTCTCACTTTCTGTTCTCCAGCCCTATCTGTGGGTTAGCCAAGCTGTGCATTGTGTTACCTTCTTAAGTGCAGGCTGAATATCCATTTGTCTCTCTGTTTATTGAATAAAGCAAGTTATAGTGGAAAGAGAAAACAAGAATGTCACTCAAACAGGGAGACACAGGCTAACAAACTAAGTTACAGAATTATGTTCAGTTCCTGGCCTTCTGCATCTGAGATGCAGATGATTCTTTATATGCTAGGAGCTTCTGGATATTCATGAAACCAAATTCCGTAGCTAAATGGTTACTTATGGTTCTCTTCTAGCAGATAACTGGAGGGTGCTAATTGTGCCATTTTAATATTTTTAGCCTCCTCCAAGTTGAAAAGGCAAATGTGCTGAGGCAAAAATTCAGCTCACCATTTAAACAAAACATCAAATATCTAACAAGAGAAACAGAGGTTTTAGTCAGGGTATCAGCAGTGCTAATTGATCAAAACAAAGTTGTTTTTCTCTATGCCTTTATCAGCATTTTGACCTACAGAAATAAGCAGGTGGGTGATTTTATGCCTCAGAGAGGTAGGAGGTATAATATCTAGTGAATAACCCCCATCATCTTGCTTCTCACTAGCTTCACTTAATCCTAGCATACAAGCAGGCATCCAGAAAGAAGTTAACAGAATGGAATAACAGAATTGGAAGGGACCTTAGAGGTCTTCTAGTCCAACCTCCTGCTCAGCCAGGAAACCCTATACCTTTTCAAGACAAATAGATCTCCCAGTAGAGCATCCAGCAGCCTTCTCATTTCCCACTATCTTACCCTGAGACCTAGTACTTAGCTAGGAGATCATAAAGCTTAGTGCTCAGCATGGGACCTCTAGCTCAGGCCTAGGTTACCTGAAGCATAGCATTCACATGAATGTCTGGACACAACTCCAACTTAGAGATAACCTTCTGGTTCTCCCACCCCATTATTTTAAATCCTAGGACTAAGGTAAAGAATTCAAAAGCATCCTGTTGAGTGTGAGATCTGTAGGAAGTTCTTTTCTAACCAATTAACAATTAAAGCAAAGCATTCAGCTGCCGTGTCAGCTGTACATCACACTTGGAGCAGACTTCCCAATAACTCTTTGATCCATGATAGTTTATGTGAACCCAAGCTCTGAGTTGCATGAGCAAGACATTCTCAACTGTACAAAAGAGTTGGAGTTGTCCAATTAAGCCCCTTAATTAGAAGTTGAAAAGTTTCCTGGTTGAACCTGGCATTTGGGATAAGGGCCAAAGAACATGGTTGTTGGACATCAGCCAAGTCATAGATAAATTCCAAGAGGTAGTGCAAGATTGGAAGATGTGGAGAATCCTGGTCCATAGAATCACCAAGACTGAATGGATAACATCATCACCACCCCTTGTTCCCCATTAGCTTAGTGACTCCTAGCTTTCAGCTAGATGATTGAAGTTATCTTGGGGCAAATAACCTCCTTATTCTTCAGTTCTTTATTTGAAATCTAGACTTCAACATGGAGATCAAGGAGCCCCACACTACATATGAGATTTGTAGGAGCTTTCTGGCTGTTCACTAGCTTATCTGAATCCTAGCATTTAGCTGGGAATTAAAAAATGTATCAGTTAGCTGGGAATTGAAAAAAGCTCAGCATCAAGTTGGTAGTAATTCAGCCCATTAACTGGCCTAGGCATATAGAGTCCATGCATATAAAGAAGCTCTGTTGAACATCAGACTAATTGCTAGTTCTCTTGCTCTTCAGTAGCTTGTCTCAAGCATAGCAAATAGTTGGTAAGTAAGACTGTCTCTACAAAGCCTCAAGGTTGATTCATGCTAGCTTATGTGAATCCAAGCTCTCAGCTGAGTGAGCAAGACATTCTCAACTGTACAGCCGAGTTAGAGATGGCCAATGAAGCCCCTTAACTAGGAGGTGAAAAATCTCCCAGTTGAACCTGACACTTGGAATAAGTTCTAAAGAACATGATGGCTGGATCAAACCTGAAACCAGCCAGAGCATAGAACAACTAAAAAAAGTATTGCAAATCAGAAGATGTGGAGAGATCTGGCCCATAGAATCACCAAGACTGAATGAATAACATCGTCATGATGCCTTGGCCCCACTAGCTTTCCTAGCAGTCAGTTGAGCATGAGAGTTGGGGCAAGTACATTCCTTGTTCTTCACTACTTTATTTGAAATCTAGACTTCAACATAGAGATCAAAGAGCTCCACACCACACATGAGACATGTAGGAGCTTCCTGGCTTTTCACTAGCTTAACTGAATCATAGCGTTCAGCTGATGATAACAACATCCTAGCTGAGAATCAGACTTGGAGCTGTTACTCCATTACTTTCCTTCTCCGCTAGCTTACTGGAACCCTCACGCTCTCTGATAAGAAGGACATCAACCTTC